CCCAAATAGGGGGGGGGGGGGGGGGGGGCGCAGGAGGTGGTGTCTGAATGAGAGTGGGCCGCATCAAGTAATCCACAAAAGCGATTACAACTGTTACAATCTGCTCAACCTTTATAAAGAACAATAAAACCATTAAGGGTTCTCAAGAACTACTCACTATTTACAGAGACCTGGCACACAAAAATATATAGAAACATTTTTAAAAAAATCAGAATTAGACTAGTCGGTGAGATTCGACTGAAACCGTCGCGGAGAGTCACGTTATAGATATGAGAATGGGGGAAACGCCGGCGCATTAACAATAAACTTTTCTGTCATGTAGCGGGCCGCAAAATATCGTCTTGCGGGTCACAAATGGCTCGCGGGCCGCGCGTTTGAGACCCATATGTTAGATGCTTATTTATTAATATTCACGATTATCTAATTTTTTATTAAACGAATGTAAATATTTATACTTTCCCACATCATTTTCGATGTATGCAGAATGTAAGCGGCAACGAATTTCAAAATATCTTAACATTTCATTTTCGGTTTCGGCTTCGGTTTCAGCCAAAATTCATTTTAACTTTCGGCCTTTTTTCGGTTTCGGCCGAAAGTCATTTTTAAACTTTCGGCATTTTTTTGGTTTCGGCCAAAAGTCATTTTAGACTTTCGGCCTATTTTCGGCTTCGGCCGAAATCAGAAAATCACTTTCGGTCGGTCTCTAGTTAGGTGTCTAGGAGTAAATTACAAGGTGTCTAGGAGTAAATGACAAGGTGTCTATGAGTAAATGACAAGGTGTTTAGGAGTAAATGACAAGGTGTCTAGGAGTAAATGACAAGGTGTCTATGAGTAAATGACAAGGTGTTCAGGAGTAAATGACAAGGTGATTAGGAGTAAATGACAAGGTGTCTAGGAGTAAATGACAAGGTGTCTAGGAGTAAATGACAAGGTGTCTGTGAGTAAATGACAAGGTGTTTAGGAGTAAATGACTAGGTGATTAGGAGTAAATAACAAGGTGTCTAGGATTAAATGACTACATTTCTAGAATTAAATTAAAACGTGACGGGGAATAAATGACGTGTCTAGGAGTAAATGACAAGGTGTCAAGGAGTAAATGACAAGGTGTCTGGGAGTAAATGACAAGGTTTCTTGGACTAAATGACAAGGTTTCTGGGAGTAAATGACAAAGTGTCAAGGAGTAAATGACAAGGTATCGAAGTAAGAGAAAGTATATTACCGTGATAATGCGTCTCAATTCAAAGAAGAACAAAAAGCTACATAGTTCCACAACTTTTATTAAGCTATAATTTAAAAAATGTACAACAATCACGGTACTCACAATAAAAGTGAAACACGTCGAGAATAGTGGAGAGTTGTTAATAAACTAAAGTAAGTTCTAAGTATGGCGAGGAATGGTTGAACATTTAATAAACGAATCATGTGTCCAAGCTGTGTGAAGAAAACAGAAGAACAAGGTATGTCATAACTTGAATGGAAAGACAGGTCAATGAGATAAGAACTTTTCGGCCAAGAGCCTTCCTCTGTCGACAGAGCAACCGAAAATACGACCAAAAAAAAAAGAAGAAAATTGTCAACGATTTAATTGATCGCCATTATTATTGCCTGAAGTAGGAGTATTCAAGACCAAAATTGCAGGAGTGAAAGAATGTATATATTATTACTATGTTTTGTAGCTTTTCATTTTTTTTTTTTTTGGATAAAGGATCACTGGAGGCGCCACAGTACGTTGCAAATTACATAGGAAACGCTCTATCCTGCCAATCCAACTTGACGTCCCTGATAATCACCTTTGTTGGTTATGTCACTTGTGCATCGCTGAGATGTGCCGATCTAACGCTTGCTCGTTCAGAAACGGTTTAGAACACTCGCTGCATCGGAATACACCGGCAGGTCTTTCGTTTAAATAACTTGATGATTCTGAATCGTGTTGCTTCTTGCTCGATTTCAGGACTTCACAGTTGCCTTCAGTTTTATGCTTGTCCAGTTTTTCCTTCTGGGCAAAGACTTTATCACATTTGCATCTAAAAGTTTGTGTACGATGTCCTTCCGTAGATGGCTGAGACATTACCCCAGATTGTAGAGGCATTTGTGGAGACATTACCCTATTTGTTGGAGGTATTTGTGGAGACATTACTCTATTTGGTGGAGGTATTTGTGGAGACATTACCCTATTTGGTGGAGGTATTTGTGGAGACATTACCCTAGATGGCGGAGACTTTGCCCCAGGTGGCTGAATTTGTTTTAGAGTAGTTGACCGACAATTTTCGGCAGATGCCTTTTTCTCCTTTCCAGTTGCTCCAGAATATTCCTGGCATTTAGCCACAAACGCATCTTCACCGCAATCGTTCGGTTCCATGTGAGACTTCAATTTCTCTTGAGTTTTAAATGACTTCTCACAATGCCTACATCTGAATACTTGTATTGGCTTTTCGCGTCTCTGCTGATGTTGGTCAAGACTGTTTTGGAGAATTCTATTTTCGATCGGTCTCGTGGTTTGTTTGTGTGTAAGATCTTTTGTAGCTTCGTCTCCATGTGGGGGTGGTGAGACACAACGTTTCGTTGGTGATTCAAGGAATGGAGGTGGCGACTCCAGGCGGCGGGATGGGGAATCACGATGTGGAGGGGGGGATTCAAGACGGGATTGAGACTCACGATAATGTGAATCAGAAACAAAATCAAGAGTCAACGTCTTCGAGCTTTGAAATCCAAAATTGTGTTTGCTGCGAGCTATTTCTGCTGAAGTGGTTCCTTTTTTCATAGCATTCAGGGGACAGAGGGGACTTCTCCTGTGCACCTGAAGTTGAATGTCATCTTTGCATTTTTCTCCACACGGACACTGGCACTTGTTTGTAGTTTTTGGCAAATCACGTTTTCGATAGCGCTGTTCATCAGTTCCTTGCATGGCTTTAGCTTGGTGCCTAGCTTTTTCATGTCTGTGTGAATCGTCTCTGTATTTAACATCCTGGTGGTCTTGAGGGTATCGATACTCTAAATTAAATATTCGATCACTTGAAACTTCGTCCTCGTCCGAGGACTCTTGAGTGTGTCCCTGTTTTATCCTCAAGAGTGTCCCTTTATGATCGTTACCGTCAGTGTACTTCTTAAGTGTGGTTGGGTCAGCCCCGTTCTTGCAGCTGACTTTCTTTAAAATTGGTTGCGGTAGAGCCCCTGCTTTGACCTTCTTATCAAATGTGCTTGTAGGCTGCGGAGACTGAAATCCAAATATCTTTTTCTTAGTATGTCTTGGCATGTTTTCAGAATCGTTCGATGTTCCGGTCCCGTTGCTGTCCCTGGATGGATGGTCCTGAGTCAAAAGTTTGGTTTTTGATCTAGTTCTCGATGAGACCGGGCCGTTCAAGTTATTCTCTGGGAGTATGTTGTAAACGTTGAGATCTTTGGGTTCGCCTTTCTCAACATCCGAGCAGCTGCTGTTTCGTAATATGTAGTCATCACCTTGGGTGGAGAAGAACAAATCTATACATGAAAAACCGGGAGAATGACTGCATTGACGGTTAAAAACCACATGCTGCAGCTCTGTTGGACCAAAAAAAAATGATTCAGACGTACACATCTCATTGACCGCAACTGGATTTAAAAACTTAATATCTTCCTTCTATCTTCCCATTAATCCATCCCCCAAACATCCATCTACCCAAAAATTCATCAATCCATTCATCCATCTATCTATCCACCCATCCATTTACCCAACCATCCATCTACCTAACAATTCATCAATCCACCCATCGAAATACCCAACAATCCATCTATCCACAAAACCATCTACCCATCCATCCATCTATCCACCCATCCATCTACCCAACAATCCATCAATCCACCAATCCATCTATCCATCCTTCCATATATCCACCAATTCATCTCCCATACCATCCATCTACCCAACAATTCATCAAGCCACGCATCCATCTAAACAACAATCCATCTATTCACCCATCCATCTAGCCAACAATCCATCTATCCACCAAACCATCTACCCATCCATCTATCCACCCATCCATCTACCCAAAAATCCATCTATCCACTCATCCATCTACCCACCCTTCCATATATCCACCCATTATTTTATTCACAAATCCATCTATTCCCCCATCCATATATCCACACATCCATCTATCCACCCAAAAAGCACATTGATGTCAATATTTTTTTTAAAATTTATTAAGGCCCATAATATTTTAATGAATTTATCAGCAATAGTACAACGGTTGCCATGAAGAAAAGACATCCTTAGTATATTATAATAGGGTAATCTAATTCAATAAAATGGTTTATGAAAAGGCACGCGTGATACCTTACCTGTACATTCCGAATTCCCAAATGTCAAACCTGATGAGCAGCTGACAGAGTCAAAACCTTTACAGCAGAAATAGAGTGAGTTGTTAATTACCTTGGTCATGCTACGAGCATGTGTCGTGCAATAAAAGTGGTCAGTGAAAATGAAATTTAAAAAAAAAAAAAAAAAGAAAATTAAATTAAATCCTTTGAGTATAAGTAAAAATTCACCTTTTCATATTTTAAAGATCATTTTTTTTAAAAATATTTCGTACTTAATACACTTTTTTGTTTAAAATTGTCATTTAAGATGAAAATAAAATCCTAAAAAATTTTTTTTTAAATTTGTGGATCAAATTTCAACAACAATATTCTACAAATCACTTCAACTTACTAATAGCGTTTACCATGATCGAACCACCATCCTCGTCATTCGCCTTTAATTCTGATGTACGATAGAAAAGGATCAAATAAAAATAAAACAAATAATTTCAAATTAATTAATTAATGGAAGTCTACAATATCAACGTGTTGGATTTTCCCTCTCTAGAAACAATACGGTAATCCCTTAACTACATATAGCTTTTTCTCTGCTAGCCATATGTCTCTCCTACACATATCTCACTCCGCTAGGCAATATCGTAATCCCTTAACTACATATAGCTTTTTCTCTGCTAGCCATATGGCTCTCCTACACATATCTCACT